ACCTTACGCGCACCATTATTGTGCCCTTTGGCGAACTCAGGCCATGTGTAAAGCCTCCAAGTATCGAATGCATGAGACGTTTTACCTGTCTATAATTTGATTGTAGCGTTCGGTGATACGTGAGCGTTTTGCACCATATATATAGCCCTTTGATAAAATTAACTGTATAAAGAGTCAGAAATTATTTCATGTAGTGTGTTAAATTGATGGCGTCGGTAAATATGACAAAGAAAATATCTTGAATTTTGCCGCACGACTGGTTGACACCGTCTGTATAGCTGAAAATTTACGGTGATCTATTTGTTGACGTTTTATTAAACACACACAGTAGGTGAACTACAGCTACCACATAACGGTAAATTCAATTACTGCAAAAGAGGTTATATTGAGATTTGTAAGCACCTCATTCGATAAGACGACACGAGACAGGGTAAATATATCTTCTTGATCAATACGCCATGTCAGTTGTCCCTAAGGAGACTAATTTGTTCTCTTTGACGCATGTGATACAAAATACGCAATCGAAAGTTTCTTGACCATTACAGGATATGTAAGAGCTAGTTGCAGTTATTGGTCATGGTATCTTGTATGACTCCAAGGCAAAGTACGATAAGAGTTGGCGACGCACAAGGTAACACGTTATACCCTCCGCTTATACCGACATAGTACAATCTGCTTGAAACAACACAATTTGGGCAGTTGCCTCGAGTTCTCACGTACACTGCACGTGCAGAGAAAGCTTGCTCTTCTACGTGTTTTAACGTATAAGATATAAAAACTTGACTGTACCTTGGATAGTTACGATTCTTACTTAAGCATCGTTCGATCATACCCAATCTAATAATGATGCAAACGCGAAATGTTGCTACCCGCTTAGCACCCATAGCGCGCGTCTAGCAGCGGTTGGTGGGTAATTAATTTCCTGTAATGTTTATCGATAAATGAGCGGAGCTGTGCTGAATTATACGTATCTCCGCTGAAATATCCTACAAAGGTAATGAGCCTTTACAGTTTATGTCACTCGAATTTCACATATAAGGTACATGTTGGTGGATATTACCAATCCAGACAATAGTTTAATTTACCCGATCTGGTGCCAATGACATGCAGCGGGCTCACCCCGTTGCACTTACATGAGCAGCCACGGCAAGTCAACTTTCATACTGCTGCACTTTCGCCACTGAAGGTATGCAAGAGCCGACGGCCGTGCTTTTCTGACAAGTACGTCATAACAAATGAACTGTTTGTTGCAAGCGTTAACGTGACTCCACAGCACTTACAAAGAAGGAGTCAAAGCAGTCGACGCTGCGAGGGTTTTGTTTCTGGCATCGGGCGAGAACTTACTGACTCTTACAACGCAGTGTGACGCGCATGGCCACTCGCTTTGGGTTGCCGGGCCAACCTGAACGACGTCCGACTTAGGTGCCATAATAGCTGTCTACATCTCTATCGGTATTTGGTCTCTTTGACGTTTGGAAATGGTCGGTACATAGATTGAGCTACTTGTTTGTCTTTATATTCGCAGATCTGCAACACCTAATCATTAGTGTCATAGTGTGCCTGCCAGGACATGATATCCGCTGGACCACTTGTTCATGTTGGCACGACACAGTGCAAGTGACTCAAATTAACGATCGAAGGTAGCTGCCATACAAGCAAGCGTCATCTGCACATTTGCGGACATTGGGCAATGCGTTACACGTACTACCGACACCAAAGAGAAAAGCGGCACGTGACAAGTCTCCTCCATTGAGAGAGCAAACGCGAGCCCAGCCATCCTATCCAAGTAACGGAGAATGGCGAAATTCTTGTCGCACTCGCCCAGATTATCGCTCGACCAGTGACCATTGATTGCTACATCCCAAACGTGATGTCGTTGACATGTGGTTTCGTTTCCAATGGACAGCCCCCCTATTGCTTACGCACTCTCGCTCTAGCTACTTTGATGCCAACGCGAGCAAACATACTCCTGCCACGTCACGTCTGCACACATGCTCAAGCTCCACAATCAGTCTGCAATGATATCCACAAGACATTCAAAACTCACGCCACGTCGTATTTTGCTTCAGCATTTACTGCAGCATGACATCCAAAACATGCCAACACTGCTCGACCGTCATGGCACACGAATGCATTCCTCTAGGCATTGAAACTCCACAGCGACACCAGGCATCCACGATGCTCCACTTAATCCGCGTCCTGGCAAATACACACTACCAGAAGCACTTGGCCGCTTGACGTCAACACCCTGAATTCGCGAGATGGCCAGATACACGCGGTCGTCTGATGTCGCAACTTGACCGTGCTGACATCGGTTGTGAGAAACGACCAGAATGTATCGCGTCGCCTACGCTTTTTTGGCCTCTGTTTGCCACTTCTTACGAAGATTCTTTGCTAACTTTGCTACCTTCTCATTGCTGCCAAACACACCACGCATCACGGCAAATGACGTCAAAACACGGGTAGCACGACCGCCCGCGCCATACATAAGACTGCGTAAATACCTGGACTTGCGAAGCTTCGAAACAGCAATGCCAACCTTGGAATCGATGATGTCCTTGGTGTCTAACGACATACTGTGAAGCTGTTCAAGCGCAGCCAGCTGTTTCCGTTGAAGCTTCTGTTCGTCTGAGCCATCACCTTGCTGACCCAGGATGCGATATAAAGTTTGAAGAGTCTTCAACGAATTCGGACCCGAATCTAGGAATAGCCAAACGAGCTAGTGTCAGTCACTATACACGAGACGACTGCTGCCAATCCATATATCGTACCGCTGTCCGCAGGCTGTTCATTTGACTGCTTGATCCATTTTTGGCGCAGCTCATGTGCCTTAGCAGAAACCTTGTCATTGCTGCAAGTCACACATCAGTTTTTCGTCAGAAGCCTGCAAGCCACATGACAATCACACGATCGACATACCCATGTTGGCGCAAATTGGATACTGCCCGTGCGATTCCCGTCTTCTTCAAATGATCTATCGTCAAAGCCATCTTCAACACGCGTGTCACAATCATGGGCAATCTCACCATTCCAACTTATTATGTGTGCTAGCGTACCTCGCTCAGTCGGTTCAAGTGCACCAACAACTCATCATGGGATGTCTCCGAAAACTCTAGCTGGGTCTTGAGATCCAGAATCTCTTCTTTTGTAATCGGCTTAGGTGCTGGAACACAATCTTCGACCTCCCACTTCTTTACCAGGAATGTGACAAGCTCGCAGATCCTTGATGACGGGTGCGCTCTCAATTTCACAAGTCGTGGCTGAAGCGTTGACGCTGCCAGCACGTCCTTGTCGACATGATCGATACTCTTGAGTAAGTCCAATGCATCGAGAATCTTCGGTTCCAGTTCCAGAGCCAGCGAAAGATGTTTTGACACTGCTTCGAGCTCCCTCTTCGTGCTCTCACTCTTTGCAGCATCAGCTACTTCTTTCTCTCTTGCAGTGTCCACATCCGTCTTTGCTACGCCACTAGGAGAAACGGGTACGACGACACCATCATGTTCGACCTCTAGATCAGGCTGTGCTGTGCCCTCGGATGTGACGGCAGCTTCTTCTGGAACAGAGTCGCCCATGTCTTCGTCTTCCATCGAAGCGATCACTCGTGCAACACCTTCTTTTATCGATGCCTTGTGGTGACGTAAGTCGATCTTAAGACGCTCCTCAAGCATTTTCCGCACCATCTTTGTAGTCATCTCCTCAAACTGACAGTTGACCAGGATCCAGCGGATCTCCTTCTCCAGAAGTACGCTCAGCGCTTCCGAGGTCATGTCAGGTGGAAGCCATTTCTTCTCATCATTGTCTTTCTTCACTACAGCGCGCTCGCTCGTGACATCGGTTTCCAGCGTCGTCTTGGCGACTTTTGCTGGCGACGCACTTTTCATACCCCGTTTCTTCTCGCTGCTATTCTTACGCTTTGACTCGTCTGTCTTTTTACTATTTTCGTCTTTGAGCCCATTTTTCTTCTTCTTCGTTTTCTTCTCGTCTTTTCTCTCCTTCTCTTTCTCCTTCTTCTTCTTTGGCTTCTTGTGTCTCATCGCTTGCACCTCTTCTTCCTGCTCCTCGTTTTCCACACTGTCGCCGTCGCCCACACTTTGCGTCTCCATGTCCTCGTCCGTGTCCGACTCCATTTCCACATCTTCCGGTACTACAAGCTCCGGTGGCGGCTCCAGTGTCGGGTCCAGATCCGATGGCACCATATGCGGCGGGAGACGAATGTCCTCGGGCTGCGACAAGTACTCCTCCGCCTCGTGCACGGCAACCTGGAGTTCTTCAAGTACGGACTTCTTCTTGGTCAAGTGCTTGGGATGGCCCTTGAGGAACTGGTCCTTCTGCGCACAGTCCCACGGCCGCAGCACGCCATTCTTCAGCCCAACCAGCGAACTGCCAACAACAAACCATTTCATCAAGACACACCACACATAGATCGATACATCCATTCAGTCCACACCCAAATCCCATCGGCCACAGCAATAACACAGTTGAAAACACGTGCAATTCGATTGCACTGCGTCCGTTCCACCCACTCGCCCTCGTAGCAAATGGATCGCGTCACACGCATCCACTGCGTATGCACAGAGGCAGTCCACGTACAAGTCATGGGAGCCAAAGTAGTAGACGACAATAAAGTCCAATGGAAAGTCGCGCGCTTTCTTGAGGATCTTCTGGTGGCCACTGCCCAAGAGGTGCAGCGTCGGGCGGAGCTTCGTCACGTCGCAAATGTACACGGGCCACCAGGGGAACCCCTCGAGAATGTACCAGCCAACGGCATTGGGCACGACGGCGGCCATCTGTGTCAATTGAAACCCCTCGCGCGCGGGCGGCCCACGAAAAACCCCAATTGGCCCCGCGCGGTGGATTTTATCCGGCCCGACGGGGCAGCGCGGCAGGTACCGCCGACGTGGTACACCCCGCTGCGCCCGTGACTGGCTGGGAATGGGTGCGTGGCACATGTCGCACGCACCCCCCACCCCCACCCCCCTCTCCCCCTCTGTGTTTGGGGCGCTGTGGATCTCTTGGCGCAGGAGCTCTCGAGCGCCCGACCCACTCGTCGTCTTTCGCCTTTCACCCGAGCGCCTTCTTCTGACAAACAGAGTGCAACTGACTGACTGTCTGTCTGTCTGTCGATCCAATGGCAGTGTCTGATGAGGTGCACAGCGACGCGAGCGACGTGAGCGACGACGAGACGACGCCGCCGCTGCCCGAAGAGCCCATCGAAGACTGCCGCAACTCGGACGTCGTGACCAAGTACCGCCTCGCGGCGGAGATTGCGCAGTCGGCGCTCGAAGGTGTGCTCGGCCAGCTCGAGGCCGGCAAGGACGTGGTCGAGCTGTGCAAGTTTGGCGACCTCGTGATGCAGCAGCGCTGCGGCGCGATCTTCAAGACCAAGAAGATCGACAAGGGCGTGGCCTTCCCCACGTGCATCTCGGCGAACGAGATCCTCTGCCACTACTCGCCGCTGGCCACCGAGTCCAAGGCACTGGCGGCCGGCGACTGGGTCAAGATTGATCTCGGCTGCCACATTGACGGCTACGTGGCGGTCGTGGCGCACACGGCCATTGTGCCCGCTACGGGCGCCGCGCTCGAGGCCGAGTTCCCGGAGCTGCGCGGCGACGAAGCCGACGTGCTCAAGTGCGCGCACGACGCCGTGGAGCTCTGTGCGCGGCTGATCAAACCCGGCAACACGAACCTGCAGGTGACGGAAGCGCTCATGCGCCTCGAGGAGTCGTACGGCGTCAAGAGCCTCCAGGGCACGCTCATGCACCAGCTCAAGCGCTTTGTCATTGACGGCAACAAGGTCATTGCCCAGAAGACGGACGTCGAGAACCGCACGCCGAAAGTCACGTTTGAACCGCACGAAGTGTACACGATTGACGTGTGCTACACGACGGGCAGTGACAAACCGGTGACGAGCGAGCGACGCACGACGGTCTTTAAGCGCCAAGTGAACAAGCAGTATCGCCTCAAGATGCGGGCCTCGCGGTACGTGTTCAAGGAGATCAACCACAAGTTCCCGACCATGCCGTTTACCATTCGCGCGTTCGAAGACGAGAGTCAGGCGCGTATGGGCGTTGTCGAGTGCGTGAAGCACGACTTGCTGCAGCCGTACCCGATCCTGGAAGGACGACCGGGTGACAAGATTGCGCACTTTAAGGCGACGGTGCTGCTGCTGCCGAACGGCACGTCCAAGATCACGGGCTTGGCGTTTCCGAGTGACCGCGTTGTCTCGGAAAAGACTGTCGACGACGAGACGGCCAAGATTCTCGCGTTGTCGTTGAAGAAGAAGAGCAGGAAGAAGAAGAAGAAAACGACGACCTAAGCGCGTTTGGTCGGTGTCGCCGTGGTCTGGGAAGGAAGCGCCCTGTGTGTTGTTGTGGCTTGCTGTGGCGATGGTATTCAGGACACGAGGGCGACTGGACATGGCGACGGTATGTCGTCTTCTACTCAGCTTGTAATGCGAGGTATGAACGGCAAAGCACCCAAGTTGTGGACACTGGTGCGGCGTGGTGTTTGACCTCGTTCTTTTCTACGCGATTGACGCCGCGGAATAACTCTAGCGAGGCAGATGCGAAGACAGGAGCTCGTAGCAATTTGTTGGAAAATCGTATAACGTGACATTTTCCTTACATTGAATGGTCTTCCAGCGGTGTCAGTGTTCTCCGTGCAAGACCGTGTACCTGTAACCTTCTGCAGTTCATTACCTGATGCGGCACCTTGGCCTGTAATGTTGAGCGTGTCTTGATGCACAACACTTCTCTGTCTTAACATCATCATCACGGCAGCGAGCTACGTTGTGTAAACAATGAATACATTGGCATTTAAAGTCTAATTGGCGCTCTTGCCCTTGGTCTTCCGCTTGCGCTTCTTGAGACCACCCTTCTTGCTCGACATCGCTTCGCCTTCTTTGCTCTTCGCCTTCTCCGCATCAAGCATGGCACGCTTGTCCTCGAGCTTCTGGATCTTGTCGGCCTTCTTGCCCAGACCGTACTGCATGCGGTCGTACAAATACTTGGCCTTCTTCGACATCATGGTCTTGGCCAATTCCTTCAGCTCGGCCGCTTCTTCCTCCTTCTTGACGCGCTTTGACTTCTTGTCAGTCGAAACGACGTCAGCCTTGCGCTTCGTCGACAATGACTTTTCTTCTTGCTCCTCCTTTTCGTCCTCACTCTCTTCTTCCTCCTCTCCATCCGCAGTCGTCTCCTCCTCCTCCTCCTCTTCTTCCGCCTCTTCTTCATCGCTGTCGCCATCTTCCTTTCCACCCGCTTCGCCATTCATCTCAGCCTTCAGGTCAGCAGCATACACTTCCTCTTGCTCCTCGGCATCCTCTTCATCAGAGCTCAAAGCCCCGTCGTCACCAATTGCACCGACCTCGCGCAGCACCTGCACAGCCGATTTCAGCTTGTCCAGCTCCTTGCGGTACTCCGGGGTGTAGCCCTCCTGTTCGTCATTCACAAACGGCGAGAGATGGGGCGGAAGCTCTGCGCCAGGCACGTATCGCGCGAGAGGCAACAAGATGCCATTGTTCACCGAATCGAACACCCATTGCGGCTGCACGTACTCGCGATTGAAGTAGCGATGACCCTGGTGCGGACGATCCATGACGTGGTGCGTGATGCGTGGACTTTTCTCATCAAAAGGAGAACCAGCGCCATCCCAGCCAAGAGTAGCGCCGTGCGAGCGCAGCACTAGTTCCAAGCAAGCCGAAGGTACCTCACGGGACAAAAAGAACGTCAGCCCGCTGAACAGACTCTTCTCACTGCGCTCCTTGCGTTGCTCACTGTAGATCTGGGCAGCCAGCTCGTTCGACGCAAAAGCAGCCTCAAGCGGCTCACTCATTGCGCCAAACGACGCTTCGTTCGCTTCTTCTTCTTCGTACTCCTCCACGGCGCTGCTGTCCTCGTTTGCAATCGCGCTGCCAAGGGTCTTGATCCGCTTCTCCGACTCCTTCTGCTGCTGCAACACGTCCTTGGAGATCTCGTTCTTCTCCGTCTTCTTTTCGACACGGTCTTGCACCTCCTCCTTCTCCCCACTTTCGTTCACCTTCACCTTCTGCACTCTTTCCAATTCAATCGCAGCAAGTTGAGCACCAGCTGAATCCAGCTGCAAGTTGATCTTTGGCGGATACGCCACTCCAATCTGCATGTACAACTGCGCGTTGACAAACTTGAGCAGCACTTCGTAAAACTCCAAAAACGTGAGCATCACCCGCACGTCCACGCGTTTGTCGACTGTTGGTGTAAACTGATGCGGCACCAGCCACGTGACGGTCTGGCCTTGCACATTTGCTTGGTAGTAGATGCCCTTAATGCTCACAAAGACCTTCGAAAGCGCCCGAGTGGCCACAATGTAGTTCTGCCATTCGCGCACGAGACGCAAGCACATGCTCGTGGCGTCTGCGTGGATGCCGTGGCCGGCAGGCATAAGTGCAAACAAATGCACCAGACAAAGCGCGTCGTCCAGATCGCCCAGTGCATCGACAAAGCGCGGATACCGCTCCTTGACAATGTGGTCGAGCTCGTAAGTCGGGCGGTTCTCGTGCTTGCGCTTGGCGTTCTCATAGTCTTTTCGACCCATGGCCTTGGTCACCTGCTTCATGAACGTCTTGAACGCGCGAAACTTCTTCAGCACGGGCTCATGCGCCAAGAACATCACGTCCTTGAGGTAGTAGTACGTCTTGTCCTTGCCCGACACCTTCTTCTTGGGCTCGCGCGGGTAAATGCCCTTCAGGATACACAGTCGACGAAAGTCTTTCAGCGTCACTTGCAGCCGCTTGAGCGCTTGCGTGCGCGTGATGTAATTCGCGGCCGACCCGCGCATGCCCTTGCGCTGCTCCTTGCCGAACCGGGACAGCCGGCGCTTGCTGCTCATCGAGTCCGTGACCTTGGCCTTGATGGACTTGAGCTTCTTCTTGCCCTTCACGCGTTTGGTCGGCATCTTGAACTGAGAGGAACGGGACGAGCGGTGTCGTGTGGTAGCACAAAGGAACAGTCCGTCAGTTGGTCAAAGGAACAGTCCGTCAGTTGGTCAGTTAGTCAGTCAGTCAGTTGGTCAGTCACACGCCGGCGCGTCGCGTCGGGCAATGGACAATGGACCTCTCGGGCGAAGAGCTCCAGTCAATTCGACGATACGATTGATTGGTTGAAACGCGGCAGCGATAGCGATGATACGATTGGCAGATATTACGTCCACGGACGAAACGCGCATTGGCGCTCGAAGGCACAACGTGCAGTATTCATTGGCACGCGACGGCTGGGGCGAGTAGGACGACTAGTTGCGCTATGGCGGCCAAGAAACGAAAGCAGAGTAGCCGCGTGAAAGCAAAAAAGAAGGCCAAGACGATGAAGGAGGTGATTGTGCAAGAAGGGGATCGGAAGGCGCAGCAGGAGCCGCAGGATGATCAGTTAAGCACCGAGCACGAGGCTGTCAGTGGTCAAGAGGTGAAGGACACGGCTGCTGGTGCTGTTTCGGCAACTTTGGGCCTTCTGTCGGATGAGTTGCTGCAAGAAATGGGCAGCGAAGACGCTGGTGGTGCGCTGGTGCTGCCTGGACATCGTGAAAAGAAGCAGAAGGTGGAACAGGTGCCCGACGAGCTATTGCAGCAAGCGCAGCGCATGAGCAAGAGCAAACGAAAGAAACTGGAGGCCATTGCAGCTCGTAAAGTGAAAGAGGCACGACGGGAGGACTTGTACAAGTCGCTGGAAACGCAGCGGCTCTCGCAGGACCAGATGAAGCTCTTGTACAGCACGTCGCAGATGGGGCACAAGGAGACACTGCGAGAACGTCTGAAAAGGTCATTGAATCGACAGAAAGCAGGCATTGAGCTCTCGGAAGATGCAAAGAGCGAGCTGTATAAAAAGAAAGACAGGAGCGAGGATGAAGACGCGGAGGTTGATGAAGTTGTGCAAGTAGAGAAGCTGTTGGAAGGCGAAGTGATTGCGGAATCGAAGTGCGAAGGCAAGACGAGTGGTGGCGGTGACAGCGGTGATGGCATTACATGCACTGTTATGAGTTGTACGACTGATGCTTGTGAGAGTGGTGCGCCGGAGAAAAGCAGTAAGAAGAAGCGCGGTGCGAAGAAGCTAGGTATAGCTAATCGCTCCGTGCCAATGCTGTTGACGGCCGATGAAACAACCGGGCCCGAGGACAGTAAAGTAGTGTACTCTGTCAAAAGTGTCCACCAGATGGTTGATGAAGAGAAGCATGTCGAGGAAGAAGCCAAGCGCGCTAGCTCACAAAGCGCTGCGATGACGAAATTGGAAGCTTTGCGCAAAAAGAACGAGGAAAAGCGCCAACTCAAGGCATTGGCTGCTTCGAAGCCTCTAGTCGAACCCACCACGACGCCAACAGACGATGTAGCGGAGGGTTGCACGACTGCGTACGTGCCAACGCCAATTGTGATGAAGACCGCGGCTGAAGTCCGCGAGCTCAGTAAGAAGACAACGTTGTCATATAAGACCACTCTTGTCTCGCTGTCCCGCGACTCGAAGATACAAATGGCGCGTATGCAGCTTCCCGTGTGCAGCTCTGAGCAGGAGATCATGGAGGCCATTACTGACAACGACGTGATAATCTTGTGTGGTGAAACGGGAAGTGGCAAAACTACGCAAGTGCCGCAATTCTTGTACGAGGCTGGCTATGGTCACCCCGATCACGCGACACATTGCGGTCGCGTCGGTGTTACGCAGCCACGACGTGTTGCTGCCGTTTCCACCGCAAAGCGTGTTGCTGAGGAGCTCAACGTGCCGTTTGGCGCGCCCAATGGACACGTCGGCTACCAAATTCGATATGACGCTGAGCACGTGAGCGAGCGTACGCGCATCAAGTTCATGACTGATGGTATATTGCTGAAAGAGATTCAGCAAGACTTTTTGCTGCGTCAATACTCGATTCTTCTCTTGGATGAGGCTCACGAGCGCAATGTGAACACGGATATACTGATCGGTCTTTTGTCTCGTATCGCTCCACTGCGAGCTCAGATGTCGCGAGAAGAAGAACAGTACCAATTGCTGTCGGCGGAGGAGAGGGAAGTTGCTGAGAAGCCCATCAGGCCGCTGAAACTTGTGATCATGTCTGCGACGCTGCGCGTGGAAGACTTCACGCAGAATCATCGATTATTTCCGACGCCACCGCCAGTGCTTCGCGTTGATGCACGCCAATACCCAGTGACTGTGCATTTTAACAAGCGCACGGAACTAGATAACTATGTGGACGAGGCTTACAAGAAGGTGCTCAAGATTCACAGGAAGCTGCCCGAAGGTGGTGTGCTGGTGTTTCTGACAGGTCAGCGGGAGATTCTGCAGTTATGCCGCAAGCTGAACCGTGCCTACTCTATCGCTGCACGAAACAAAAAGGCCGCAGCGCAGACTGACAAGCGAGTATTTCGTGTACAGCGCCGACAGTCTACCACAGACCAAACGGCGAGTTCGAAAGACCACTTTCTGCGTGAACACGACGACATTGAAGAAGAGGCTGACTTGGAGGAAGCCCAAATATACGGCAACGAAATCGACGATGAAGATGCTGCGTACGATTTGAAAGATGGAAAAGAGGCGTCTGGTGACGAAGATGAAGACGGTGACGATATGGACGACGATCTAGCAGTGTCGTACATGCATGTGCTTCCCCTATACTCTTTGCTCCCCAACGACGACCAGATGAAAGTGTTTGATGCGCCACCGGATAATCACCGTTTAGTTGTCGTTGCAACGAATGTGGCGGAGACATCGTTGACCATTCCTGGGATCAAGTACGTGGTGGATGCTGGCCGTACAAAGGAGCGTGTCTTCGATCTTGCCAATGGCATTTCGTCGTTCGATGTTCAGTGGATTTCGAAAGCCAGCGCTGATCAACGCGCGGGTCGCGCAGGTCGTACTGGCCCGGGCCACTGTTATCGTCTGTACTCGTCCGCAGTCTACGACACAGAGTTTCGTAAGTTTTCCTCACCGGAGATCCTGTGTCAACCGATTGACGACTTGGTGCTCCAAATGAAGGCCATGGGTATTCACAACGTGCTGCAGTTCCCTTTTCCGACTCCTCCAGATCGTCAGGCAGTGAAAAGTGCACTTGCAACATTGGTGAATTTGGGTGCGATCTCTCCAGGTGACGACGAGTCGATAACAGGGCTAGGCCGTGCTCTTGCCAAGTTCCCCGTTGCTGCACGGTTCGCAAAGATGCTGCTGCTGGCACAGAAGCTGGACCTCGTCGAGTACACGATTGCCATAGTTGCTGGTCTCTCGGGTCACTCACCCTTCATTCAAGCTTTAGATCGTCGTGAACAAGAAAAGAGTGCTGAAGACGAAGAAGCTGGTGGCGAAAAGAAGAGTGAGCTGGAGGAAATGGAAAAAGAGTGGCGGGAAGCCGAGAAAATGCGCAAGCACGCACAGTGGGTCGATCAAGAGAGCGACGTGCTGAGCTTACTGCGCGCTGCTGGTGCATATGCGTACACTGGTGGCAGCAGCCAGTTCTGCCAGGAGAACCACCTCCACGAGAAGACGATGCAGAATATGTTGAAGCTCAGGCAGCAATTGACGCGAATAGTAAACAAGCTGTACGCGGAAGAGAAGAACTGCACAACTGTCGAGCTCAAGCCGAAGATGCCGCCTCCCGACCTCGAAACGCAGGGGGTCCTGCGCCAGATTGTAGCCGCTGGGTTCTTGGACCAAGTGGCGAAACGCGTGCCGGCTGGCACTATCACTGAAGGCACGAAAATTGAGCGGAACTGTGCCTACGTGGCTGCAACTGGTAACGTGAAAGAGCCCGTGTACATTCATCCGCACTCGTCCGTCTTTACACCCAACCCGGCGAAGCTGCCAGAGTTTGTCGTGTACCAGCACGTTATGCGCACAACGCGCGCGTACATGAAGATGGTGACTGCGATTGAGCCACAGTGGCTCGCGAGTATTGGCAAGAATACGCCGTTGTGCAAGTACGCGCCGCCACTGGCTGAACCTGCGCCGTTCTACCACAAGGAGCTGGACGAGGTGCAGTGCTATTCGAAGGCTCAGTATGGCATCCATCAGTGGTCTTTGCCGGCTATGCGAATCGCGTATCCGGACGACGATGCCTTGGATGGTTTGGCGGATAAATACCGGTGGTTTGCCAAGTTCTTGCTGGATGGCCAGGTCGTCACTAGTTTGCTGCCGTTCTCCGTCGCTCTGAAGGAGCCAAGCCATACGTTGATTCGCAAGAAATTTGACAAGAAGATCCAGCTCCTGGTTGCTAAGCTGCAGCAGCATCACGTGGCGTCACGTCAGACACTTGTGGCCAAGTGGAGTACACCTACTGGCAAGCTCTTTCTCAAGACGGAGCTGCTGAGCTGGATAAAAGACACTCATAAAGCTGCTTTCAGTCAAGCATGGGGATCTCTGGTAAACGCTGCAGTGCTGCAAGAGAGGAGAAAGACGGCTTTGGCAATGAAGTAAGCACTTGCTTGCTAAATCTCGTCATTCGAACGTTTGTGATCATGCAACTCGAATCGTTCAGCGGCTGCATGGTATACGACAGACTGCATGCTTCCAGGAAAGCATTGGGATTAGAGGGTCGCTATAGTCTCCGCGAGGACCGCTCAAATCGCAAGTGTGGTGTGCCTCGCTGTAAACGTGAAGTGCTCGATTCCCTGTGATACCTGACGAAGTAAATGCCGTCGTCTCGCGTGGCAAGTGTCTCCACTGCGTCCGAAGAAGCTGGATCGTCTCGCGATCAGTGTTGGGGATCCAGATGAAGGCGCGATTGCTGATGACTGGATGTGCCGTCAACATAGTGCTCTCTTGGACGTGCGTTTGAAAGCACTTTGGCGGCCTCCATTGCTGCTCATTGCTGATACTGGTGTCGAAAGACGTCAACTTCGTGCCAATAGCTGTCTCCATGTCTTCAAAGTTGTCGATTGGGGACCAGTCGCGGTAACGAGGAGCTACATCGGCTTTATGTCCGAGCCCGCGATGACCGCAGATGGCATTTCACATGTTGCTGGATCGTGCTGCTGATTAAGAAGAGCTGCTCGTCAGTGGCCATGCGTGAGCCAATTTGCTGACTCCGTACGCGCTTCAGCACTGTGCAGAGCAGCTGACTCGACCAAGGAGCCTGAAGCTCACGTTGATCTGCTGTAGTTGAGCCGCGACAATCTTGTGAAATGGAGTTGATGCTGTCGCCGTCGGTTGATCCGGAATCGTTTGATGTCGCTTGCTGCAGGCAGGTCCATTGACGTGACTGTGACGAGGTTCGGATTGGCAAAAGTGATCTCCTGGACAGCGGCGACACAGCAGTTCTTCTGTGCAATGTTCGACTGTGTGCGGAGTATATGGGCAGTTCCGGTCGTCATGTCTACAAGTGGGCATCTCGCTCTTGTGTTCCAAGGTGGTGATCCTTGTCGGGTACAGAAAAATCCCGAGAGGTGTTTTTATGGTATCACATGAGCGAAAAAGAGATCTACAGTTTTCATAGCAGCCATATCATTGAAAAGCTGCGTTTATTGCAGGACCGCTGTGGACATGTGTCGCGATCGCTCACTTTGTTCTGGGTTAAACAGCATGAAAAGCGGTGAAAGTGCATAGTAAAGGCGTGTACAAAGTTCGTCACTTTTTGCCGTCTAGAAAAGGCAAAATGCCAGCGACTTGCGGCATCGTGAGAGCACCAACACAAGTAATGGCTTCCAAGCGGTGCGCACTGAATTGACAAGTACATTGTCGGTTTGTTTTATCGTTTTCACAAGTACTTTATCGATTGAAACGAACCTAAACCATCCCAACGCATTTACGATACTTAGCAGAGATGTGTGTACTTAGTGTCGAGACGCGATCGTTGTCTCTGCGACTTTCCAAACCTTGCGCTCCCATTTTCAATTGCGTAAAATAGGAGCCTACTACATGTCGCGTATTGCAAAAGACAAAAAATGGATCTGAAATTGCGAACTGCGAGCAAATACCCCAAACTAAAAGGTTTATTACCAAATGCAGCTTTTTTACCAAAGTTTTAATCCCTCCTCCGAGCGTTTCTGTCCAGTCGTCTGACACGTACGACGATGGCGCAGATTGTGTAGACCGGCTGCAACTAAATTACTGCAGCTGCAGCTGCAGTGAAAACATGCCACAAAGGCTAACATACGCCCACTCGAGACTCCCATACCATTCGCTCTTCGCAACACTTACCACCAACTGAACTCGGCCAGTACGGAGAAGAGTACCTGTCCATTGCTTCGCACTCACTCACATATCATGACAGCGGCGCACTCGCTGACATTAATAATGATAAGCTCCACTCGTGCCGTGTCTCATCTCTTAGTACATCGAGGATCTCCCTGTGTTGCTATTCATTCCTTAATGGGCGACAAGACTTTTGACTGATCTGACGAGAGTCGGAGCGGAATCGTCGCGACCGCCATCAGGTACCAACTGCTGCGAAGGCGACAACTATCGTACTGCAAGCCGTATACACAAATCTCCACTCGGTCGTAACGAAAAGCAGAGGCAAAGTCTCATTCGCGCGCCCGTCGAAAGCGAAAAACGACTCGAGAAGATTGATGGCAATCAGTTGCTCCCCCAATGTCATAGTAGTCACATGGCCTCTTTGTAACTTGCAACTACCAACTACCTGCCTACTCCCCCCGTCCACACTCTGTGTCCCTCTTCTCTCCTCTCCTCTCCTCTGTCCCTCACTCCCTCGTCGTGCACATTGAGCCCTTCAAACGCGTGTTACATTATGGATTGCGAAAAACTTACTTCTGTACGAACTATTTAGATATCGACGACCTGGCCGTCCCTCACTGCGGAGAGCTCGTGGCCTTGTACCCGCTCTCCTTCTCCACGTCGTGCGCCTTGCCCACTGTGCTGAACGATTCGCGCGTGACTAAGTCTGCGCCGTGCAGTTTCTGGTAGAAATCCGCATCCATCGCCTCAAAGCCCTGTTCGTTGTCGAACGTGCAAAAGTACGTGAGCGGAATCGACACGAGCGTAATGGCAGCGAACGTGTAGAACGCGCCGCTGTAGCCAAAGCTCTCGTTCTCGACCCAAATCGAGAACCCAAACGAGCCGATCGCGGCCCCGGCTTTGCCAGCCGCAGCCGAAATGCCGTGACACGTCGAGCGGATCGGCGTGGGGAACATCTCAGTCGGCAGGACAAACGTCGACATGTTGGGCCCAAAGTTGGAAAAGAAGAGCGCGAGGCCGTAGAGAATGATAAAGAGCACGGCGCTCTTCTTGATCGCTTGCCAGAAGAAGGCGAGCACGAGGAAGAGCACCGTCATGACGACAAAGCCCTGGAGCTGGATCACCCGCCGGCCAATGCGGTTGATAAAGTACACGGCCACGTAGTACCCCGGGAGCGCCATGAGCGCGACGAACGCGTTCTGCGTCGTGACTTCCCGCAGCGACGCGTCGTCGACGCCGACGACCGTCAGAATGCTCGCCGAGAACAGGTTCTGCGCGTAAAAGACAATGTCAAAGAGCAGCCACGAACCCGCTGTGCCCAAGAGGCTGACGCCGTAGTGGCGCACAATGAACGACAGCCGCGCGCGCGACGCCGACGTGGGGTTCCCCGCGGCCACCGCTCGGCGCCGCTCTTCGGCGGCTTTGTACGCGTCCGTCTCGTCGGCCGTCACGCGCCAGTAGCACACGACGATCGCGGGCACGACCCCAATGCCAAAGAGCAGCCGCCACACGACTTCGAGCCGCGCGTCGGAGTTTGTGTTCTTGTCGCCGCCGGCCAGCGCCTGAATGATGAGGTTCCCCAGCACAGCTGCCGTGAGGGACCCCGCGCCTTGCAGCGAAAACGTCAGAGCCACGCGGTGGTTCCGGTCGGCCACCGACGTGGCGTCTTCGGCCGTGGAGGACGCCGCGAGGGGGTACTCGCCGCCAATGCCGACGCCCAGGATGAACCGGGCGACGACGAGGAACCAGAGCGTCCCCGAGGCCGACCCGCCGTAGGCCGCCGTGCAGAGGATGCCGCCGACAATAAGGAGCGCGCAGGTGGCGATCATGTTGACGCGACGGCCAAAGACGTCGCCGAGGAAGCCGAAGAGCAGTTGGCCTACGACGGCGCCCACGAGGGCCGACGCCGAGACCCACGACTTCATGTTGGACGTGTACACGTCTTTGCCGTACTGCTCCGTGAGCACAATGTTGATAATGTTCATGACAAAGAGGTCGTAGGCATCGTTAAAGAAGCCGAGACCGCGGACGAGGAACTTGTTCATCGTGGGATATGTTTCTGCCTATGGCTATAACGTCTACTGCAGTTTTGGTTGGACAGTGGGTTGTTGTTGATGTCGATGTTGTTGACGTTGGTGTTGTTGTTGTTGTTGTTGTTGTTGGGACGTGCGCTCAATTGGGTTTTGGGAATCGAGAGCGCGGGAAGTGACAGTGGGGGAAGAGCGCTACTTGCTCAGTGTCGAGTGAAAGGCAGAATGACTACGAGGAAGAGAGGAGGAGTGAGTTTGTCTGTGTGTGTGTGTGTGTTCAAGTGGAGACGGAGGAGGAGGACGAGAGGGACCGACTGAGGACAGAAATAGCGAGACCAGGCGAATCTCCTAGTGATTGGCAGCGAGGCCATACGTCAGCCACGCGGGTATTCGGAACGCCTCTCGTGAGAAATCAAACGAGCCGTGCAGGTATCCGGGACAAAGACTCGTGGGACGGCGTCAGAGACTGCGCTGAGGGACTTGAGAAATGCAGCGCGGCACGAACAGATTCAGTCGACGCGTCCGCGACAGTAGAAGGGAATCTATCGAGATTCCAACGCACTCCTGGGTTGGGTCAAGACGATATGCTGACTGGATCGAGATATCGGAACAAAACGAGGCTCCTTTCTCTCTCTCTCTCTACTCGCGCTCAAAGTGGCACAGAGTGATCGCAGAGGCCAACAGCACAGCACCAGTCGACTTTTTCTACGAACGGCTTCAAGCGCACGAGTCCGATCCCTCCCGATTGCACCACAAGTTGATGGCTGCACGGTCGGTTTCGCAAAGCTTTTACAGAGCATTCTCAGCCACGCACGCGTCGTCGCACGCGTCGGCCGTTGGGCTGCACCTCCCCAACCAGTTCCCCGGACCGTTCCAGCTGCATCCTCGACCGACTCAGTCTGTCTGGCCATCAACTAACCGCCTCGCTCGTGCAGTTGGTCCCACCGACGCGTTCAACTCGTGCTGCACCGTGGACGTCCTTTTCGTCCTACTGCATCGAGCGCCGCCCGTGTTGCCCACCGGCGACGGTCAACTGATTACAGCGTGTCCACTGTGTTCGAGTCCGCAGGTCAACAAGAGCTGGGCGGACTCGGGCGTATACGCTACAGACTCTCTTCGACAGATCGTGGCAACGCCTCACTAAACGTGAAGTTGGTTTGATGAACGAGCAAATGAATGGGTAGTTAGTCGACCAGCAGTCCACTCTTCGGTTGACTTGTTACCACACGTCGATGTTTGCTCCCAGTTCTGCTGTACGACGATCGCCATTGCCACAGATATGCGCAGCATTAACAGTCCACTAAACACCGTCGGCCGTCGTGGTCAAGTCATCTCGCGTCGAACGTCCCGTTCGTCCGCGTGTGCCTCCTCGGAGCTCTATCCAAATCTTCGCTCAAACGTATCACCACTACACGACGCCCTGTTCCTCTGTTTCGACCAGTCCGTCATAAGTCTCCCTCCACACCGCCCTCCTCTTCCCGCGGCCACAACATAATCTCAAGAGCTTTGGACGCTCGAACTGTAATTGCACACGGATCGACGAGCTGATTGTTTCGCGCGCGGCGTCTGCTGCAACGTCAACCAAAGAGCTGTTTCACGCGTGGAATCGCGACAAGAAATCTGTTTGCGGCAAGTTTGGGGTCCGCACAAAGGCCACACACACACGTACACACATGTCTTCTTGTCTGCGGACGAGCGTTAGGACGTCTGGACGCCGTAAAGAAGCGGCAGCGCAACGGCACCAAGATCGCGTCCACGCGTTCCAGGGATCGTGCACGCCGATCTGAGCGTAACGGACGACGTCTGGACCAGAACGTTTCGATTGCAGAAGGATTGTCGAGCAACAAGTGTCACGGGTGATTGCCACCATGTTTGACAGTGTAGTACAAGTAGTGCGTGACAAGCGAGCAGGCTGCAGGCTTTTGCTGCGGTTATGCTGTACGGAATGGGTGTCGTGGAAGCACCGGATAGCAATACGAAGGCGTGCGATCCGTGTCGATACTTCAAGACGGAAGGATCTTGTCGACGGATTGGCCGTAATGGCACTACGAGACGCAGTGACAGGATCGCAAGACAAGTCGAATCCTTTGGCGGATGTCCGACGTCAGTATACGGAATGGTGACATGAAGATCGATCCACGTCGAGAGCGCGCGGAGACATTTCGACAAGATTCCAGCACGGCCGCTTTGAATCTATCACGCGTTCGCGCGGACGGCATCACCTGTACGATCACTACCGCCGACTTGTTCAAGACAACACGCTTACGACTCTCTGTCGAAACTTTGGCGCGGTCCACGGCTCTGGCTGCATCTGACGTTCAAGCGCTCCCAAATCGTATCTGTCGAGCCTCTGCAGTCGTCACGAAGCCATCGCTCGCGGTGGCATCCATCAACTAGAAACCTCACAACGAGACGCTCTTGGTCGCAGACCGACAACGTGTGCACTACGGGATACAAACGATCGAGCTCGACCAATGGCTTCTCACCGCGTAGTCTCAGCTGCGTCGATCTCGTGCCCGTCGCGCCTTCATACTGTTGCAGCACTGACACTGCCCGCGACTTGACGTCGCCCATCTGCCTCCACGCTTGCAACTACCGCCTCATCTCCGCCTCGCGCCCCTGCATCGAGAGCTCCCGTTGCCGCGGCTGTGCTATTTTTTGGATCGCTTTTGTCGAGTTCGACGCTTCCAGGCCATTCTCTCCGCTGCAAATCGCCTCAGCAGCTACTGATGGCAGTGGACTGGACAGTGCTGCCAATCGCCCTGGACCCCGCAGCGTGCTGGACCATCCTGTCTCGGATCTTCAGTGAGTCATCGCTAAATACCATCAACATCGTTGTCAGATTCCGCGGCGATATCGCTATCCCACAATCGACTGCACTACTCGGTACACAGACAACAGCCAACCGGCCAGATCGGCCAACGCATCTGTGTACTTCGGTAGCACAGCGAGGCTGTAGGGCACCGCGTTTAGTGGCACCCTCGAGTTGGTCTGAATCTCCCCCGTTTGTCGCGCAAGCCCAGACCTGCTGGTCTGCATAGCAGCTGCCGAATCTCTTTTTCGATCGTGTCAAATCGCTTGCGGTGCTCCTGAAGCGCCACGGTAGCCGTGGCTTTGGCCGCACAGTCTACCGGCTCGCATCCTCGTCTGCAGCAGCGTATCGTGGTCGAAGGAGCGCAAGGCACCTGCGGGACTTTGCACTTCCTGGACATGTTGCATGGGCGAAGACCGATGGTCCTCCGCCAACGACTATCAATTAGGTCATGTCTTGCTCACTACGTTGATTCAACCCCTCGTGGTATTGCGTCGTCTCGACCAACTCGAAGCGAAGGAATCTCTCGTCGTCGCTAGTGTCGTAAACGCTGCGTGTGTGTGGCAGCATTGAGTGCTTGACACGCCCTGCGATCGTGCCGAGCTGTAGATGCTTGAACCAACGAGATAGAAGTGCCCTCCTGCTGCAAGACATTACGCATCATTGCGTTCTGGCTTTCATCTCTGACACTCCCAGAGACCTTGCGCGGTTGAGGAAAGACCGATCGGGGTCAACGCTTTTTGCTGCACAGGAATGCGGTTCGGAACAGCGCTTGTCCGAATGCAGCTATCGACGCAGCTGGCTTTGTGCTCGCTTCGTGGGACGGCCATAGGCTGTGAAACTGCGCGGAAAGATGCGCTTTCAAGCATCTCTCCGATGGCGTTGTAAATTAGCGAGCATCGCATGTCAGATGTGGTCGCAGCGACTGGCCGATGTGTCATGACGCAGTGTCCGTGTTGCACGGATTCTCTCGCCTCAGAGGATTCTCCAAGGGGGTATAGCTGCCGTGCCTTTTGCTCGTGTAGATGAGTGAGACCTCACTGCGAGTCACTCACGATCCCATTTCTTCTGCGACCAACGGACCATGTCTGACCCGTCTTGTACCTTAGCTGCTCGTTTGAGAGATACGTCCGCACTCTTTTGCGCCTGGGAAAGCACAAATGCCGTAGAAATATGACTTGCGTGCATTCGGTTGGAATGCAGTATCCATGAGCACATTATCTACTCCTTTTGCACCCTAACGTCGCGTCAACTTGAGCGCGTGACTATAAACGTAGTACCGATGGCAGTTGACATACTCGGGCGCGGACAACGAGCTTGTGCATTGTGTCATGTGTGAGTTACGGTGTGCTAGTAGGCTGGTCCCAGTCGATTGTTGCTAGCATCCTCCACGGTGACACGCCTACCGCTAGGGTCCAGGACCGTCAATACCAGCTTCGATTGGACACTCTCGTCGCTGATTCGCTTGCCAGAGTCGTATCGATCGACGCCATATAAAAGAATGCAACACATACAGTGGGCTGCTATAGCCCGCAACTTGGCTCGATGTCCTTTACTCGTTGATTTGGTAGCTCCTTGTAGCAACGTTATGACCACCTTTCCGCTGTCTTCGCTCCAGCATTCTCTTGCTGCATCTAACAGATACACGAACATGTTTCCGTTTTCACTATTTGCATACGGCTTCTGTCGCTTCAATCGCACCGCAATGCAGCAAAATTGTACCAGCTCTCCTCCTTCCGGTTATCGCGGATACTCAACACTTTCGTTCGTGACGATCGTGAACACTAACGTGCGTCACACAACGTATGCGAGTCTGATCACTACGATTGACTAATTTCTCGCTTCCTCTCTGTTCTTCAGTTTTTCGTGCCTACTTATCGACAACGACAACGCTGGTAGTCGTAGAACACGATCGTGCGCATCTATTTTGCCCTCAATGACCATTGATATAGTTGACTATGAGGCCCTTGGGCACTTGCGACAGCTGCAGCCAGTCATCAACGCTTCTCTGATGCAAGAAGCCACCGACATGTTTGCGGCTAATCACACGCCCGTTGGTAAAAGTTTTGCGCTTGTAGCAAGACACCGTCGCCCTTATACTTGCTAACCACAACGAGATCGTCAAAACTGAAGATGCGATATGAAGACTTTGAACAAACGGAAGTAGCGTGGTCTCACCGATAGAGGCCAGGGTGCTTTGTTGCTACTGTAGATACTGGCTCCCTTCGCAGCAGTGTTGGGATCTTTTTGCTAGACGTTTCGCTCTGTCCCAAGCGGGGACACAACGATCAATTTCTTGGCGAAGCTCGCCATGTTCTCAAGCCAAAGTCTCACATTCGTGCGTCGGTCAGAGCTATTTGCTCGCAGCAGCAACGGATGGTCCCATCTTCCAGTTCTGCAACCAAATGTCTACATAATGTGTTGCCTCAACGACAACTGCCATTTCGATGGCGTTACGAAACATTGCTTCCGGACACGAATAAATAACCTCTTTGTGGCTGACATTGCTTCCGGACACGAATAAATAACCTCTTTGTGGCTGACGTGCACCACTTCACATAGCCCATCCTCGGTACTCCTCTATTCGGTCCCCTTTTCCACCAATCCCCTCTCTCCGCATCATCACACCCCACTCGACATTTAGTATTGTCATATCCCCACGTGCTGCACTACATATCGCTATGACGCGTGGCCGTCGTCTCTTGCCACTGCTGCTCGTGCTGGCGGGTTATGCCGCGCTGTCGGCAGCCGGCAACGACTACTACGAGATATTGGGCGTCACTCGCGACGCGACGTCCGTTGAGATCAAACGCGCGTTCCGTAAACTGTCGCTGAAGGTGCGATCGGCTTGTGCCGTGGCTATGCGACGCTCAGATTCTTTCTTTTTATCATCGGAGTTCCCACACTTTATATGTCATCCACCAGCACCATCCAGACAAGAATCCCGGCGACGCCAGTGCGGCGAAAAAGTTTACGGAAGTAGCCAGCGGTGCGGTCATTGGCTGCAGGGTGTTGAGACTGTCTAATATGATATTCTAGACGCTGGGTTGACTAGATGCGTATGGTTGGTGTGTATGTTGTGACGGGGTGTTTTTCGAATCTCATGCTTTATACAGCCTACGACGTGCTGTCGGACAAGGAAAAGAAGGCCAAGTACGACCAATACGGCGAAGATGGACTGGGCCAGACCGGCGACGGTGGTGACAATGACGCGTTTGACATTTTCTCGCAGTTTTTTGGCGGCGGTCGTCGGCGTCGACAGCAGGAGCCGTCGCGAGGTCCCGACGTGGTGATGCCGCTCCGGGTGTCGCTCGCTGATTTGCACAAGGGCAAAAGTCTGCAGTTTTCTATCCGTCGTGAGGTAGCTACAAGAATGGAGATGCACTGCTGTGGCTCACGTGGGTGGGTGCTCATGTTTTTCTGCTTTGGAATGGCTATTTGTGTGGATTCTAGACAATTTGTCATCATTGTCATGGCAAAGGAGCAGCTCATGAGGAAGACATTCACGTGTGCTCGGAGTGTCGTGGTCAAGGTGTAAAGACGACGACGCGACGGGTCGGCATGGGCTTTATCCAGCAGTTTCAAACCGTGTGCGAAAAGTGCCACGGGAAGGGCAAGATCTATACGAGCTCGTGTCCAGTATGTGGCGGCCGTAAAGTGGAGATGGCCGACTTGAACTTTGACGTGGAGCTGGACAAGGGCACCCCTGACGGATTTGAGATCGAGCTGGAGAATTATGCCGACGAGATTCCCGGCCAACCGGCAGGCCATGTGCGTCTCCAGGTACTGACGGTGCCGCACCCGATTTTCACGCGCGACGGCGACGACTTGTGGATGGACATGCACATATCGCTACGTGAGGCACTTGTGGGCTTTCGTAAAACAGTCACACACGTAGATGGGCGACCAGTGGAAGTCGTGCGGGACGACGTCACGCCTCCTCGCTTCGTTATGGCGCTGGAAGATGAGGGTATGCCAAAGCAGCATCGTCCTTCCGAAAAGGGACAGTTGCATATCAAGTTCTCAGTGCAGTTTCCAGAATCGCTTTCGGAGGAGCAGAAAGTTGGCTTTCGCGAGCTGTTCTCGATGGAGTGAGCGATGGGGTCCGAAGCATTTGGTGTCGCCAGCAGTTAGGGAGACGGCAGCTAGAACAACGCCTAATGACGTCGACTATTTGCTGTCTCTGTTGTGTCTATTTGAACTTCCATCCTTTTTGTTTCGTGACTATGGAATGGGGTCGATGCATCATCACCTCACAGGTGCCTGCGACATAAGCGTACCCACGGTCCTTTCCACCCATACCAAAACATGAGAACGACTTTACGTAAAGTTTTGCCATGATTGTGGCTCAATCTCATCCGCTCGCAGCTCACGTATGTATGTTGCTATCAAAATACGTCGCAAACGGCGTTCTTCATCAACAGTGCTTTCATAATCGATGATGCCAACGGTCCACGTTATTGGCATTGACAACACGTCAATGTGAATATTATGTTTGCGATAACATTTGATGACATTATCAGTGGCAGTATTGCTCTTCGCAATTGGTGACACGACGCCACCCATTAGCCATCATAAGTCCCGATATTAGTCGATGAAGTCACCAGCCAGCGCTTGACAGGCGCAATCGATGGTGAGAAAGGTATCATTGTGCAAGTCTATATTTGCAATGGTACAGTACAAGGTGAGGTTTGGTAAATAGTTTACTAAATAATTTATCAGACGCTTTGCTTGTGTTTGTTTCCTATCCCTATTTACTTTCTGCCAAGTGTCACCCAAACTTGAGTGCGTTTCCTCTGTACTCAAAAGCGCAAGTGAAGTTTTGACGCATCCGTCTACATTTTCATCAATGTGGTTCGCTCATACTGTCATCAGCATTAGCTCAGATGGTGCTCATTACAACCATTGTATCATCGCTTGTGTAGACCAAAGAAGTGATACCAGTTTTGATAAAAACGTTCGAGGCGAAATAGTTTGGCGTTTTTTTACAATTTGAAAGCACATACTTTGCCGAGAGCCAGCAGGCATGCAGCCTGGTGATCAAGCAATCGTCCTGAATAGCCGGTGTCGTGAGGTGTTTGGCTAAGATTGTGGAAACGTGGTGGTGAACTCTTGCGAGGCTGGTACGAAGTCGACGAGGATGCAGTCTTCAACGAAGATCGCAAAGGACGAGTGAATGGTTGCTAAAGATTACAATTCGTTGATCGGGTTCCTATGTATGTCTCAACTTGCACTCGCCTGGACGTGGCGTACATTGTCACGCAGCTATCATTGTTTCGAAAATGGTTAGGAGGCAGTATTGACAAGAGGTCATTCTCTTTTACGCTACACAAAGGACACTAATCATCTGGGTAGTGTCAATGGAGGTGACGGAGACAAAATTATGCTGAAAGCGTTACCGAACACGAACTGAGGCAGCGGCCTGGACGACTATGGCTGAGTATCAGGACCATGATAGTGATCACGATCGGCAGTTTGCCTGTTTTCAATACGGTAAAAGACTAGAGCACGATGGTGCGGAGCTTAGCGGAGACAGAGTGCATGTAGAGGATCACGAGAGACGACGGTGATGGGCGCGTCGTGAAAAGGTCAACTTGCAAGGACAGTGGTATTCGAATGATCTGGATTGAGCGATCAGTTTATGAGGGGATTTATTCATTTAAGCAGTAGTTTAACTATTAACACTACTTTCAATTTGGCAGCACAGAGAGGTAGTTATAATTTCGTTATAGGTTATGAGCCCATATACGTTAGCTCCTAATTACAGCCTCACTGATGGCAATTACTTCATGTGGGAATTTAATGCACGCACGGCACTTGCGCGCAAGGATCTTTTGGATCACGTTTTAGTTAGGCCAACGCCGGCAGTGCTGCGGAAGAATCCCGGATGGAAAGTCGCCGAAATGAAGGCTCTGGTTGTGCTGGTGAAGCTGCTCTATCTAACCTATCAATGTATGGATAGGGATGTGAGCCCGCTCTTGAGGATTGGGAGGTACTGAAGACGTTCTTTGCGAAGAAGAATCTTCACAACCGAGTGCAAATTTGGAAGGGACTCCATGAGTTTGTGTTGGAGACTGGTACGAGTATAATGGATCATCTACTGAAGTTTGATGAGCTGTGGTTAAAGCTCAGGGCTGCCGGTGACAGCATTGATGATGATGAGAAGCTAATTTACTTTTGGAAAGCTTATCATATGACTACGATGATATGGTGCACATTATTGAGACACATAGCAACGTGACGCTGCTGGACGCAAAAGAGATGCTCCACCGAGAGTACGACACTCTTTATAAGCGAGACAAGAAAGTAACCGCTTTCAAGGCTCATACTCAGCGCAATGTACCTCGACGCTTTTAGGGTGGAAGAGGACACCGTGGACAAGAAGAAAATAGAGATCGCTACCAACCTTCTGGGAAAGTAAATTCCGATGCGAGATTTCAAGGGAAGTGCTTTAGATGTGGACGGACGGCACGGACACAAAAGATCGCAGTGTCGTAACGTGAAGCCATCGAGACCTGGTGATGAATTTGTTTTCTCGGCATTCAGTGACAAACCAATTTCGAGTTCGACTTGGTTGCTGGATAGTGGGGCAAGTCGTCATATGACAGATGGCAAACGTGAATTCGTGAAGTACGAAGATTAGACTACCCCAATCTACATCACTGTGGCGAATGGACAGCAGTTGAAGTCACAAGGAACAGGCATAGTACAGTTTCTACTCGAGAATGGTCAAAAAGTCAAGCTGACGGAGGTGTTGCATGTGCCTGGGATCGACAAGAAGCTTGTGTCGGTAGCAGCACTGACAGCCCGAGGCGGTCTTGTTCAGTTTAAGCGCGATCAAGCAGTTCTGAAAAGTGGCAACGTGATTGTAGCAGTTTTTAAGCGAGTGGGAAAGCTGTTTGAGTTGAATGTGAAGCAACATATCACATTTGAGGCACACAAGACTGATAGAAATGTCGCGATCAATGACAATAGTGGACAGTGGCATGCTCGCCTTGGTCATGTGTCTGAAAACAAGGCCATGTAAGCGATAAAGTATTGCGATGGTATTACGGAAGTTGTTGCATCTGATGATGGTGTATGTGATTAATGTGCACGCGGGAAAATGACAAACAGCCCGTTCAGTCATACTTCAGGAAGTGAGGTCAAGACAAGTCGCCCACTCGAGATAGTGCACACCGATCTTATCGGTCCTATGAACCCGAAGTCGAAGGGTGGAGCTCTATACATACTCACATTTATCGACGACTACAGCCGATATGTCTACGTTTACTTGCTGGCAGCAAAGTATCAAGCTTTCAAAGGTTCCAGACGTTTCGTGCTATGGTGGAACGCAAACAGACTGCAAGATTAAGTGCATCCGTAGTGACAATGGTGGGTAGTATGTGAATCATCGCTTCAACTAGTACTGTTATGATCGAGGTGTCATCCACCAGACAAGCGTGCCATACAACCCTCAACAAAATGGATTAGCAGAGAGGATGAATCGAACTCTTGTCGAGATGGCCCGTTCAATGATGTAATACATGAAGGTTGATCGTTCTTAGTGGGGTGAAGTGGTTATAGCGGCATCTTACTCCATCACTCATATTCCGAACACTTCTCTACCTAACATAAGTCCATTCAAAACCTTGTATGGATCGAAGCCAGACTTGAGACATTTTCGTGTCTTTGGTTCGACCGGCTATCTACAAGTAGCGGATGTACGCGAACGAAATGGGACAGCAGGGCAAATAAGTGCATCTTTCTTGGATATTCTGAAATGTCCAAGGCATACCGAGTGTAGGATCTGGTGGATGAACAATTGGTCATGGCTAGGTCCGTTAAATTATGCAAGCGACCTCCTTCGCGGTACAAAGATGTTGTTGTTCAACGTGAGCCTGTTTCTCACTGCAAGCGCTCTCATGATAAACGCGTCGAAATAAATGTGAACGCACCTCACACGAAGAAGAATCAAGAGGTTGTATGTATGGAAATTGACGAGACTGCTGACGATCAACAAATTTGGGAAGACATGGTCGTGGATGCGTCTGTAGATTCTAATCTATCACACGATTTAGCTGTTGTTCCGATTGCGGGGAAGTGCACGAATATGCAAGTTATTGACATGAACGATTCGATGATCGGTTGCACCACGCGAAACGGTCGCTGGAAGGGGAGTCAATAATACACACATGCTACAAAGTCTTCTGAATCAGTCTCAAGTTATTGTACTGTGTGAGAATCCCCGCTTCCAAGATGGCCGACTGGAGATTTACTCGGGGTCTAATAGAAGGTCTCATAGTACGTCAACTCGCCTAATCACAAAATACGGCTTTGACGATGAAAAGATTGATTTACCGCTTCTGGCTGATGGATCGCCGGTGGACAGCGAACACGATGAGCCGGACCCCAAACGTAAATGTGTTGACGATTAAGAAATTGTATTTTCTGCTACTGATCTACCGATGCATTTACGAGAGGCGCTGCGGTCAAACGACGCGAAACAATGAAAAGCAGCAATACAAGCAGAAATTTAAGCCCATATAAAGAACCACACATGGGATGCCGTCTACCGTCCTCCAGGTGTCAAGGTCATGGGCCACAAGTGAGTATTTGGGCACAAGTACGATGAAGAGGGTGATATTGTTCGTTACAAAGCGCGTTTGGTTGCCCCCGGATATCTGCAAACGCATGGTTTTGATTAATTTGACACGTATAAACCTGTTGCGTGCTCAAACACGAATTGTGTGTTCATATCTGTTTGTTGCGGCATGCAATATATGATTCGGCAATTTGATGTGGAAACGGCGTTTTTAAATGGCAATTTGAAAGAAGATGTTTACATGGAGCACCCCTTGGAGTTGAGGTTGCGCCTGGAATGGTGTGCAAACTACGACGCAGCTTGTATGGGTTAAAACAAGCGGCTGCGGTTTGACACGAGAACATAAGTTATGTATTTTCTGCCATGGGCTTCGAACAATGTCGTGGAGACACATGTCTTTTTGTTCGACGCAATCATACCAACAATAAGTCGCCCACATACATAGCGTTGTAAGTGGACGACCTTCTGATCGGATGCAAGTCAGATGCAAAGATTGACAAGATTTTCAACG